CAATATAATTTATCGACGCCGAAAAAATATTTATCATAATATCATAAATATCATTTATCAGGATTTTTCCATATTTTTTTTTTCGATGTTTTCGTTCCGAATTAACGCACAAAAGTGAAGGTTCCATTGTATAAACAATTAAATCAAAATTATTACGATATCGTTTATTTGTTTATAACTCTTCGTTGCGTTATTCTGATAAGAATAGTCAACGATTCGGATTTTGCGACGCTATTCCAAGAAAGATCTTAATGAATTTGCAAAGTAATACAATAAACGAACAACAACAAGAAAGAAAGAAAAATTATTTGAACAGAAGATCATAAAATGATAAGACATAACTAAAAGAGATAACGTTATTTCTTTTTATATCTTTCTATTTTTAATTCAATGAAGAAACTAGAAAATCTTTGAAGAATCTTTACAATAAAAATATATGCAAAAAATATATACATTTATACATTTTTTTGTTAGTATATAACAGATATAAAAAGAAATCTAATGAAACAGAAATTTCGTTAATATGATGATAAATAAAATTTTGATAATAAGAATACATATAAAAAAAATTTTATTTTATTTTATTCATAATTTCTATTTAAGTCGATCGAAGAATGAATCAAGGATATTTAATGTATACACATAATTTGTGTTTTTATGTGTGTATGTATTTGTGTGTGATGCCCACTCGATGTGATCCAAGCAAAAATGTTTTTACTACACTTCTACACATTATAGTATTATATGTAGTAGTGAAGAAAAATAACTCGTCTTATAGATACGTTATTGTTTTTGTTGTAGTAATCACATAACTATTATTATTACATATATTCTTCACTAACCAATTCATAATATAATATATACGAATGTATGTATACATGTATATGAAAAATACCCATTGACACAGATAAAATGCATCTACACAGTTCCGTGGTTGTAGTGGGACTGCAGTTGCCTCTAATCTAACATTTAAATATATATATCTATGTGTGCATGTGTATTATATGTTTAAATGTATATTATATGAAAATTATATATATATATTACATATATATATAATAATAATAATAATAATAATTATTATTATTATTATTATTATTTTAAATATATATTACATATATATATAATAATAATAATAATAATTATTATTATTATTATTATTATTATTATTATTATTAGTAGTAGTAGTAATAGTAATAACTGAAAGATAACAGAAATGATTTAATACTTATATATGTTTTTGTATATATTTTCA